TTTGAGGCCAAAGAGATAACCTTACAAAATCCCTCAAGAGTATACCCCAACTCTTGAGAACACTCTTTTTCCCAAAGAGAAGATTACAAATTTGCAAACTTACAAGAAAACCTCACAAGGTAAGATGTTTGCACAATTCTAGAACAAGAAAAGAACACTCAAAGATAATTACAAATGAGCACAGATGGTGTTCTTGAAAGCAAAATGAATATTGAAAGGAAAATTGGCTTGATTTGCACAAACTTGGTGTTTGATGCTTTCTCTCTTGTTTCTCTATAATTTCTTGTTGATCAAGGGCTTCAGAACTTGTTTAAATACACCTTGAATCACTTCTGAACGTTGGGGATAATTAATGAAGATAATATAGCCGTTTTAGTGTGAAAACAATTAATAAAACAACTTGGAGCGTGGGGGGAATCGGTTCCTCCTCATAGGGAATCGGTTCCCTAAGTGTAAAATTCAAATATTTCGACCGTTGAACAGGGGGGGAATCGGTACCCCCTATGGGGGAATCGGTTCCCTCTGAGCATTCTGGAAATCTCGGAGCCAAACCGTTCAGGGGGGAATCGGTACCCCCTTGGGGGGGGAATCGGTTCCCTCTGAGCAATCTGGAATTTTTGGCTTTGAAATGGTTCGAAATACTTTGAAAGATTATTTTGAAATTGTTTTAAGATTAAAACTTAATTTTACACTTAAGTAAGGATTAAAAATGATTTTTGAAATATTTTGAGTAATGTTTTGATATTCGAATAATTATATCGAATATACTTAGAAAATCATTTTGGAAAATCTTAAAATTCATTTAACTTAATTTGTTATATCGAAATATCAAAATGTTTTCAACAGTCTCTTTTGCACTTACTGTTAGCAGTGATGATCCAGTTACTTTTCGTGATGCTGTTACTAGTCAGGAAAACGACAAGTGGATGGCATCCATGGTTGAGGAGATGAAGTCTTTGAATCACAATCGTACATGGGAGTTGGTTCATCTTTCTGAGGGTAAGAAGACGATTGGTTGCAAATAGGTGTATAAGAAGAAACCAACAGTAACAGAAAAAGAGGGGGATAAGTTCAAGGCTCATTTGGTAGCAAAAGATTTTTCACAGCAGAAAGGAGTTGATTATGATGAAATTTTTTCTCCTGTGGTCAGGAACACTTCAATCCGAGCAGTACTTGCATTGGTGGCTAGTTGGGATTTGCATTTAGAGAATATGGATGTTAAAACTGCTTTTTTTGCATGGTGATTTAGAGGAGCAGATCTACATGCGGCAGCCTGAAGGTTTCACTCAACCTGGAAACAAGCATTTAGTTTGCAGATTGAAGAAATCTTTGTACGGGTTGAAACAGTCTCCGAGACAATGGTATAAACGGTTTGACTCCTATATGATCAAGATTTGCTACAACCGATGTGAGTATGATTATTGTGTCTATGTTAAGAGCCTTGATGATGGTTCTTTTATTTTTCTGTTATTGTATGTTGATGATATGTTAATTACTGCGAAGAACATGGATGATGTTATCAGTTTGAAAACTTTATTGAGTCAAGAATTTGATATGAAAGATTTAGGTACTGTAAAGAAAATTCTTGGAATGGAAATTTGCAGGGACAGAGACTCAAGAAAACTGTGGCTATCTCAACGAGGTTATGTTGAGAAAATGCTAGAAAGGTTTGCGATGAGTAGCACAAAACTGATGAGCAGCGCAAAACCAGTGAGCACTCCATTGGCGAATCACTTTAAGCTCTCATCAGAACAATGCCCTAAGACAAATAAAGAAGCTGAAGATATGGCAAAGGTTCCGTATTCTAATGCTGTTGGCTGGTTGATGTATGCAATGGTATGTACTCATCTTGATTTAGCTCATGTTGTTAGTCAAGTTTGTAAGTACATGTCTAAACCTGGTAAGCAACATTGGGAAGCAGTCAAGTGGATCTTTAGGTACTTAAAGGGTACTGTGGGACATGAAATTGTTTTTGGTAGTCAGCGGGATAATCCTTTGGTTGTAGGATATGTGGATTCAGACTATGCAGGTGACTTGGATAATAGAAGATCTACGACAGGGTATGTGTTTACTCTTGGTGGAGGGCCTATTTGTTGGAAGTCTACTGTTCAATATGTTGTGGCACTATCTACAACTGAAGCTGAATACATGGCAGCGATTGAAGCTGCAAAAGAAGCTTTATGGCTTACTGGTTTAGTGAAGGAGTTGGGTGTTCAGCAAGGTGGAGTTCAGTTGCTTTGTGACAATCAAAGTGCTATTCACTTGGCTAAGAATTAGGTGTATCGTGCTAGAACTAAACATATTGATGTAAGGTTCCACAAGATCAGAGAGTTGGTTGCATCTGGAGAGGTTTTGCTTCAGAAGGTACATACTGATGAGAATGCCACTGATATGTTCACCAAGCCAGTTACGACAGACAAGTTCAAGCATTGCTTGGACTTGTTGAATGTTTCGAGTTGTTAAAGAAGTAAGGTAACCCAACCCACATTGATGTTTCCAAGGGGCAGGATATTTGCCAAGATGGAGATTTGTTAGGTATGGCTCATAAATATACCGGTAAAGAGGACAGGGGATGGAGCGGAGTGAGTGAACATCAACTGTACTTACAAAGAAAGTCTTGTAGAGGGGGTTACGATTATGTGGGTTGGGGGTGCGGGGGCGCAGCCCCGCGGTACGGTACATGGTTAATTATGTAATTATGTACCAGGTTTTTTTTTATTATAAATAGAGATGTAACCTAAACCTATGAGACATTGAATAAAACTTCTAGCGCCGCCTAGGCACCGATGACGTAAGCACATTGCCAAACCTCGTTAAAATTCTTGTGTTCTTTCGTTTTCTTTACTCGTTTCGTCAACATATAGCATTTATAATTTGGAGGAGGAAGAAGCACGTGAAAAGAACAACTCTAGAGACAACAAACTTGACATCAATGAATGATGATCTTCAAAGAGGAGCTGGACCAAGGAGATTTTCTTATATTGATCTTGCCTCAGCTACCGATAACTTCTCATAACAAAGAAAGTTGGGTGAAGGAGGATTTGGTGCTATTTACAGGGATTACCTGAATGATTTGGATATGACGGTTGCTGTTAAAAGGATTTCAAGAGGGTCCAGACAAGGGAAAAAGAGTATGTAATTGAAGTGAAGGTGATTAGCCAGTTGAGACACAGGAATCTGGTGCAACTAATCGGTTGCTGCCACGACCGAAATGATTTCATACTCGTCTATGAATTCATGCCAAATGGTAGCCTTGATTTCCACCTTTTTGGTAGAAGAAGTCCACTTACTTGGCCGGTAAGGTACCAAATATCGCTTGGATTGGAATCTGCACTTCTCTACCTACAGGAAGAGTGAGAGCAGTGTGTGGTGCATCGAGACATAAAATCGAGCAATGTAATGCTTGATTCCAGTTTCAATGTCAAGCTTGGCGACTTCGGGTTGGCTAAACTCATGGACCATGAGGTAGGTCCGAAAACAACTGGGTTAGCTGGAACCATAGGCTACTTGGCTCCAGAGTACATAAGTACAGGTAGAGCTTGTAAGGAGTCAGATGTTTATAGCTTTGGGGTGGTCCTTTTAGAAATTGCAACATGAAGAAAATCTGTTGATCCTAGAGGCAAATCTGATATGGGATTGGTAGAGTGGATTTAGGGTTTTTATGGAAAAGAGGAGCTACTTTTGGCTGTTGACGCCAAGTTGGGCAAGGATTTTGATGAAAAACAAGTGGAACGCTTAATGATTGTTGGACTGTGGTGTGCTCACCCAGATTTTAGTTTGAGACCATCAATCAGGCAAGCAATTCAAGTTCTTCATATGGAGACACCAATGCCCAATCTTCCGGTCAAGATGTATGTTCCTATGTATCATTTATCTTTACCATCTCTCTCTTCTGGCTCTGAAGTACCTTTAGTAACTTATTCCTGCATGGATATGGGTCGTTGAACATAGTTTACCTTCTTCTCTATGTAGTTCTAGTTCCTTTTTCTTTCTAATTTGTCATAAAGACTGATTACCCAAGTATTTTGGAGCTAGACAGACAATGTTATTCGAACCTTTTGTTTTTGTTAAAATTCTAAATTTGGATAAGTATTATATGTTCAGAATCTATTTTAATTATTGACAACACATACACACCCTGCAGATGTAGTTGCTCGAATACAAATCCTCTAAGGAGAACAACATTTCCTTTTACTTTTAAAGGCACTCAATGAATTCGGTTTTTGACCTATTGAATCGAGCGCACTCCCCGAGATACTTTTGAGTTGAATTAATCTTTCTCATGCCTTGCTTATCGTAAAGTCATAGTAACAAACATTATTTAATTCATCAATATTACTAAAATATTACAAAGCAGTTTTCTTGCACCTATAAAATTATGATTTAAGTCAATTCTGGAAGGGATATATGTATATCATAGAGGAAAATAAGAAGAGTCCAGAGCATGTAGTTAAACCTTAAAATAAATGTTTCCTCTGACAGAAAACTGACTTTGAATGCATCGACTCGTATCTTGGTAATGAAATTACACCCTTGAACTCTATGTTTTGGCCTTTTTATTGCCAAGGACTTTGTCTTGTTATTGAAGGAAAGATCAATTCTGGATTAAATTGTCTCAAATGTTTTAGTGAGAGAAGATGCTGAACGTTTAAACAAAGATTTAAATGTCTAATCTTTTAAAATGATAAGGTAAATGTTTAACATTTTCGAATTTATTCAAATAAAGATCTGAAACTTTTAATAATATTTTTTAAATATTTGAGCAGATTAGACCTTTATTTTTAAAAAATCAGAAATATTATATCTTTATTTGACCATTTTGAAAGCAAAAGATTAGGCGTTTATTTGAACACTAACTCTAAATTCAAACAAAGAAAGATGTAGATATGTTTAAGAAAACTGTATTCATGTAGGAAACATATAAGTGTACATGTATTTTGATAACCATATACAAGGAATGTACAACAAAATTGTTAGCCATCTGCTATAATATGAAGCAATTAATGGCTGATGATGTTGAGAATAGAAACTCTAGTTTTAATCAAAACCCTAATCAGGCATTCTACTCCTCCTTCTATATCTTCAATGCTTGACTCCAGTTTCTGCAACTCATTCTGTGCATTCTCAGTCTCAGTCTTAGAACCAATGAGACTACACAAAATTGCATTCACTCTGTCGAATTCGTTGGTCGCCGAAGCTTGTCCCTGGCAGGTTACACGTTTCGAGTGCATTAACTTCGAAAACAATGACCAGCTGATCGATTTCGGTTCCGAAATCAACGCGGTTATATAGGAAAGAACCGATAGGAGCACCGTGAAAGTAACTCCTTCAACATCTCTTAACATGCTAATTGTAGCTTCAACATCGGCAAAGCCACATTTACTGATCTTTAAATCTCTCAAAAACTTGTTTATTAGCTTGTTTGCTTTCTTCCTTGTTGCTAAGTATGCCTTGGCTTCATTTGCGAACCCGGCATCGTCGCCTCTTCTTCTTCGGAAAACTGATTGGAGTTGTTGGGTATCATCCTTGGCCTGCAACAAAGCATCCTTGGCTAAACCACACACATCCAAGAGCTTAAGAGATCCATTCAACAACTGATTGTTATTGCAGTTTTGGGCTAAGGAATTCCGCGTGCTAGGCAATTGAAGGAAACTATGAACCAACTCGTACATATCCCTAAGACCGTTTAGTTTTTCGGTGATCGACGACGATGAAGAAGAGGCGGCTTCATAGGATTTGAGCCTGCACAAAAGCTCATCTATTTGAGGAATAAGTGGATGAGGTCTAGAAGGCAAGCTGTTTGAACGAGCATGGAAATTGGATTTGTTGTTCAAAGCTGAAAAATCCATCTTTCAAAGATCAAAAGGCTAAAGGCTTAATGGTGAATGCAACTTTCACATCAAGCTATGATCATATATAAACGCAACGGGGGAGACAAAAGGAATCTCATCCGCAAATCTCGATGAATCCTAACGTGATACTGATCTGGATTTCGACAATTTTCGCTGCCGATGTTTGCTCAATGTCTTCCATTACCAAACTTTGCATACACTAATCTCAACAAACAAGATGAGCTAACACATGTTTTTAAAGAAAATAACCGATGCATAATTATTGCGCACGAGTGGCACTGTGGCCCTTGTCTCCTCATGCAAAAATGATCCTGAATGTCAGGATGAGATTGGAACAATATTCCAGGGACACAGAGCCACTCGTGCACAATAATTAAGCATCTTCTCTTTAAACAAATGTGTTAGCTCATCTTGTTTGTTGAGATTAGTGTATGCAAAGTTTGGTGAAGGAAGACATTGAGCAAACATCGGCAGCCAAAATTGTCGAAATCCATATCAGTATCACATTAGGATTCATGGAGATTTGCAAATCAGATTCCTTGTGTCTCCTCATTGGCTTTTTATATGATCATAGCTTGATGAGAAAGTTGCATTCTCCATTGAGCCTTTAGCCTCTTGATCTTTAAAAGATTAATTCTTTAGCTTTGAACCAGAAATCCAATTTCCATGCTCGTTCGAACAGCTTGCCTTCTAGACCTCATCCTCAAATAGATGGGCTTTTAAGCAGGCTCGAATACATGTATACTTCATCTGATCCTACATGGATACAATTTTCTTAAACAAATCTACATCTTTCTTTGTTAATGAAAGCCGATGCTTACGAAATCATACAATTATGACTTAAATAAATTAGTTTCAGATCAATCTCTCCAATTACATACATACATATATACATACTTATCATCGTGTTTGTTGTGTTTCTATTTTGGTCATCAAATTTAGTTTCTTTTCCATTTTGGTCACCGAAGTAAATTTTGATAATTTGGGTCACCTACCTTTAAATAGTTAATAGAATTATTGATACGATAACTTTTTAATTACTATAATAACATATTTAGTCTACAACACTTACATATTAACAACAGAATCTCTAGAATGTTCAAAATGAATTGTAGAAAAATCAGTGACTTGCATATTATTACAAATTTTGATCATCAGTGTCTTGAGATACAAGTAGTTGGATGTATTTGTACTTTTTATTATTCTACACTTATGACTGAATCATTGTATCTCTCATTCATCAAAATAGACAAGGTCGAACTACATCAAATCTTATATATTTCATATTTCATGTTCATTTTTCCATTTACAACTTAACAATACAAGAATTGCAACAGTAAAATCAGTAACATTCAAGACACGAGACAAGAACATTCAAGGAAGGAATCATTCATCTCGCCTTGTATTTCTTGTTGTTTATCAACCCATCTTGACATCTAACCATGTTTTAGAGACAATAAAAATATCGGAACAAGTATCGAATGTCATTAATTTCCTGTCTTTTATGGCTATAATTTGTGGTTTTATAATTTGTTTAATCATTTTTCAGATTTCAAGTACCCACACGAGAGGTATTGCAGCCCTCTCCTGTCCTGTTTCTCCTACCCGCCTGCATACATGCAAGGTAACGTCTTTCCTTGTCTTGCCTCAAACCTGTATTTTCTACTAGTTTTTTTTTTTAACTTTTTCTCTCAATAGAAAATAATAATAAAAGTTTAGCACGAGAGGCACTGGAATCTTGTCCCATATACGCCATATCTCGGCCTGATATGTAGGATCATTTTTGTACGAGAACGAGACAAGGGCCACAGTGCCACTCGTGCACAATAATTAAGCATCTTTTCTTTAAACAAATGTGTTAGCTCATCATGTTAGTTGTCATTATCGTGTGGTAAATTGGGTGTGGGGCAGACATTGAGCAAACACCGGCAGCGAAAATTGTCGAAATCCAGATCAGTATCACGTTAGGATTCATGGAGATTTGCAAATTAGATTCCTTTTGTCTTCCCATTCCCTTTATATATGATCATAGCTTGATGGGAAAGTTGCATTCACCATTGAGGCTTTTGCCTTTTGATCTTTGAAAGATGGATTCTTCAGCTTTGAACCAGAAATCCAATTTCCATGCTCGTTCAAACAGCTTGCCTTCTAGACCTCATCCACTTATTCCTCAAATAGATGAGCTTTTGTGCAGGTTAAGATCTAACGAAGCCGCCACTTCTTCGTCGTCCATTAACGAAAAACTAAATGGTCTTAGAGATCTGTACGAGTTGGTTCATAGTTTCCTTCAATTGCCTAACACACAGAAATCCTTAGCCCAAAACCGCAATGACAATGAGTTGTTGAATGGATCTCTTAAGCTCTTGGATGCGTGTGGCTTAGTCAAGGATACTTTGTTGCAGGCCAAGGATGATACCCAACAACTTCAATCGGTTCTCCGAAGAAGAAGAGGTGGCGATGCCAGGTTCGCAAATGAAGCCAAGGCATACTTAGCATCAAGGAAGAAAGCAAACAAGCTAATAAACAAGTCTCTGAGAGATTTAAAGATCAGTAAATATGGCTTTGCTGATGTTGAAGCTACAATTAGCATGTTAAGAGATGTTGAAGGAGTTACTTTCAAGGTGCTCCAATCGGTTCTTTCCTATATAACCGCGTCGATGCCGGAACCGAAATGGACAGGCTGGTCTTTGGTGTTAAAGTTGATGCAGTCGAAGCGCGTAACATGCGAGGGACAAGCTTCATCCGCGACCAACGAATTCGAGAGAGTTAATGCAATTTTATGCAGTCTCATTGGTTCTAAGACTGAGACTGAGAATGCACAGAATGAGTTGCAGAAACTTGAGTCAAGCATTGAAGATGTGGAAGAAGAAGTTGAAGGCCTGATTAGGGTTTTGATTAAAGCTAGAGTTTCTATTCTCAACATCCTCAGCCATTAACTGCTTGATATTATAGCAGAAGGCATCTCAAAAGGGGCAAAAAGACCCCCACAATTTTGATGTAAATTCCTTGTATATGGTTCAAAAGTACATTTATACTTCATCTGGTCCTAAGTGAATACAGTTTTGTTGAGAATATCGATATCTTTCTTTGTTTCAATTTTTTTATTAATCTAAAGGTAATTACAAAATAGTATATGTTCTAACTTTGTTTCAATTTTGGGTGTGTTATTTGAAGACAAAACTTGTAGATTAAAACTAGATGGATTGTTTGGAAAATCATATGATTTTGAATCTTCACATACTTGAGTTCCACTTCGCTTTTGACAATATCTTGTTTGAGTTCAAGGGCCATGAAAGAACACTTGTATCCTTTTATCCTTCTATACTTGCAACATTTGAATCTAACTGTGGAAATTATTAGAGCGACTAGGTTACACTCTTTAATATCGAAAATGGTTCCAAGATTAGAGTCAAATGCTATACTTCCTAGTCCTAGTTTTTGTAGCCTTCCAATTTATTTCTTGCTTTTTACTTGTAGCTTTTAATAACAAGTCTTGCTTTGTGTCTCATCACTTCTCCAGTTGCATCTTTCTTTTTCCTGAAAATTCACTTTACTCTCATAACTTCAATGCCTTTTAGAAGTTTTATAACCCCAAATGTTGTTTTTCTCGATAGATTTTATTTCTTTATCTAAAAAATAGACCAAACAAGTCATTGATCACTTCAATAGAACGATACAAATCTTTGACATCCGATAAAATTGGAACGATACAGAGAAGATTAGCATGGCCCCTGCGCAAGGATGACACGCACAAATCGAGAAATGGTCCAAACTTTTTAATTAAACGCTTGTTATCTGTTACTACCTGAAATATCAGTAGGATCTCTGCTCATCATAAAAATCTATAAATGTTCGGAAACAATAAGGAAATATATATTTATCTGTATCTGCATGTTCATCAGCATCATCTGGTAGTTCTGTATTACTGAGCTTTCCGAAGCTCACTCTATTACTCACCTTTTCAGGTTAAAAGAATTGTACCAGTTCATCTATCGACTTCAGTAAGGGAGTTCTTCCGGCGTTGTTGCAGAGTATGGTACATGTGATTAGGGGGCATGTAATTGTATTTTGATTTATATACGAGTTTGGAAATATGTTTTATTTTTAAATAGTGAAAACTGATTTTATGAGTTACATGTTTCAATAAAAGTTTTAAATTTTCCGCTATTTTTACAGTGGGTCGCTCCGGTGGCCCAAATGTGACTTCCCGGATTGGATCGGGCTACCCGAATCGGTCTGGGGGGTTACATTTAGTGGTATCAGAGCTATGGTTTGAGTCAAATGTTTTTTCAAGATAGACCGGCCGGTCGAATGTCAAAATATGTTTAATCAGTATATGCCCCTAGACTCCAATCGTACCTCTCTGAGCCGGAACACCAGGGCTGAGTCCCTATCTGTATTGAGTAAACCAAAGTTTCTATCTGTTAAGGCTATACTTGTACAAAAAGGAATACCAATAACATCTGTCTTAACGCAGTAAAGTACCTTAGCCATGTGAGAGTTATTCATCTGAGAAATTCTGACTCTACTCCAGAAATAAAATTGAGATATACTGCTGCTCTACGAGCCTATTCACGTAACCAATGCTGAATTGATTTCACAAGAATAAAGTTGTTTTGATTATTTACTTGGACTGAGGGAGAATTCTGAAGAGATTGATTACTCGAGAAAATTTTCGTTCGGATTCTTTTATTGAAATGAGGAAAAGTTCTGATAAGAATGTATACTCAACTGGTTAAGGATTAGTGAAGGATCTGTGTTTCTATAAAAGCTACATGAAAGATATGAAAGAACTGAAGGAAGTTTCATTTCTGCAATTATGTGACATTAATGAATTTCGAGGACGAAATTCTTTTAAGGAGGGGAGAATTGTAACACCCCAATTTAGGGGCTAAAATTAAGAAATTATAAAGTGGTGGATTTAATTTTGTATTTTAAAAAAAACAGGGGATTAAATTGTAAATTTTTAAAGTTGGCAGACTGTTTTATGAAGTGCA